GAGGAAATGGAAACAGAAAGGTTAAGTAATTTCCCTGATGACACACAGCTGGTAAGTGGTGGTGCCAGGATTGTAAACCAGGCAGCCCACTCCAGAGTCTGTGCTCTTAACCACAAAGCTCTCCGTACCGCAAAAGAGCCTTTCAGAAGCAACCCACAGACTTGCCTTCATGCTTCCGTGGCCAGATGTGAGTCACATGCCCACCTCTAAACCAGTCAGTGACAAGAGACATGGGATTACTACAGAGGGGCTAAACTGAACAAGATTTATCTCTGAGCTGGAGATGGACTCAGCCTGAAAAAAAGTAGGGTTCCATTCCCCAAGAAGGGGAATGGACATAAGGCAAGGAACCACTGTCACCTGCTTTTGAGGGGCTGCCTACAAACAGTCCAGCCGCACTACTAATTCCATTTCCTCTGCACTTATAAGGTAAGACGGTGTATTATACCATAGTCATCCACACACGTATGTCTCCCTCTTCCCACTTGCTTGCAAGCGCTCCGAAGATAGGAACAAATCTTACAAATCTGCATATTCCCCACAGGGCCTGGCATAGGGCCTGGCTCATAGAAAGTGTTCAAGAAACGTTTGTTCATTATAATTGAATTTTCATTCTCAAGTCTACTTAATTGGAGAGGTCAACAGTTGGCCATGCTCAAGGCAGGCTGATAATGCATTTTCACATTGATCTAGCAATCAAATTCTGAGAAACTTCCCTTGCCATGCAAAATAGCATGAAATCACACATTAACATAGGTCAATACAAAAGCCTAAACTTATTAAATTGTTAGTGTCTTGCACTCAGCACCCTTGGAAGTAACATTAATGTCACATTTTATTGTGACTTGACAGTTCCACTATATTTAACGAAACACATCAGAGCGCCATAGACAGAGCAGGCTTCATAATTTATACCACTCAGTGCAAAAAAGATGCAGAGACCCAGCCTGGGTAGATGAGTCCATCTCCCCTTTCATGAGCTTATTGTTCCAAACCACGGTGGACAGGTGACCCCGCAAGAGACTGTGACTTCCCAGTACTGAGACTGAGAGTGGGTGCGAGGGCCCCACGGATTTGCAGACTGAGCTCAGTCCCTGAACAGGAACTAGCATTTCTCTTCCCCGCCTCTGGAAACAGCTGGACACATGCCTGATTCCAGCTCTACCCCCCTGGGGGCAGAGTGTAACAGTAGAACTCCGGCAACCCTGCCTGGTCGCTACTGTAGTCAAAGGGGCAGGGGCAGGGAGGGAGAAGCCAGCCAGAGCCTGGGGCTTAGCGGATGGATCCCAAAGAGGCAGCGGGAAGGCGGGACCCTCTGTGAGCGGAAGCTACCAGCCCCGGGCGTGTGCTCTGTAGTCCCAGCACTCGCCACTGACAAAACACAAATCCAAAGATAGAAATATTAAGGATCTCAGGACAGCAACTACAGAGCATTAAGCCACAGGACCCTGTGCAACTGCACTTATCACACGCCCTGGACACAGAGGTGAGCTGTAGTGCCATAGAATATCCATCTATGGAGAAGAGAGACGCCCTTTTAAGTCGTGCTATTATACAAAAGCTGGTTGAATGCATGAGCTTATTTCAGGGGATGGGGAAGAAATTAGACAATGAAGAGAGTAACTGCTCTCTGTACAAGTGTTCATTCCGGGTTCCGTTCAGTGGCTCCTCTCCTGATGTATGCCATGGTGACTTTGGACTTTACCCTGTAGACGGAACCAGGAACCATTCCACGTTTTTTAAGTGGAGGAGTGACATAATCAGATTTGTCTCAAACATGGGTTTCTTTGGGGGCAGTGTGGAGGAGGAATTCAGCTGACCCTAGGCAGCCGAATCGACCAAGTTCTACATCAGTTAGTACGGAAAGTAATATAACAGCACCATGGTTAAAGGTGAGGGCTCTTTAGTTAGAGTATAGCTGGATTCAAATCCTGGTTCTGTCACTTACTAGATATATAAACTTGAGCCAGTCACCTGCCTTCTCTGAGATCCAATTTCCTTATCTGCTAAAATGAAGTAATAGCAATAGGGTTCTTGGGAGGGTTGATGCAGTGATACACATAAAGCATTTAACACAGTGCCTGCATCATTAAATATAGCTATTATCCTATTTTATCGCCATAGGAAATAGATTCTTATTGGTTTCTCTTCCCAGCTCCATGTTGATACCCTTTCTAAAACTTCTGTGCTTCCATTTATAAGAGGAAAAGGGGCACATGCCTGACCACCCCCATCTGCCACTCTCTCTCCCCTCTGGAACCTATAATTCCTTGGGGCAGAAGGAGTGACTATTACTTCCCCTGCTTTATAACCGTATTCCTCTACCTTAGGATAGCAGTCTCAAGATCTAGCTGTCCAATGTGGAGTAGCATCTTATCTACTTACAGAAGGAACTCTTGTCTGGGTCACTTTTATATGAAAGGAATTTAGAAAATTCCACTTTCTGTTCATAACCTAATTTTAAACATATTGTGGCTAAAGAAGTCATCTCATTCATTTACTCATTCCTTCATTCATTCACCCTCTTGCCCTGGATCAAAAAGTCTATGCAAAAGATGAACTAAAGGGTGATGACTTAAGGAAGAAATAAAAATATATTAGTTTAATATTTGCAGTATATTGTTTCCATTAAAAACAGAATCCATCAGTGTTATATTAATATAAGTGAAGTAATATGGAAACCCCATTTATCTGTAACTCACTAGAAGAGAGATCATTTGGGGGACACAACAAAAGCAGTTATACCTCAGGAGCACCAGAGGCGACTGGCACTGTTTCCCAGGTATTAGGAAATACCTAGAAATTAGAATGAAGGAATGTGTTTATCAAAACAAAAACTCCAGGGCCATGTTCTTTCAAAAATGGAGAAGTTGAACACCACGAGCTTTAGCATCGGGCACACTAGGTTTGCATGTGCGTGGAGACTGGCGATTTTAGGTTTTGCAATTTGGCAAAACCTGTGGGCAGTTGGAATTGCCTTGCCAGGCCCCCTGAGTGATGCTACAAATGAGGAGCAGGTGTGTTGACCTCCTTGGCCCTGATGGTCAGTTAGAGAAGTCGGTGCTTGGCTAGGGCAGGAAACGGAGATGCGAGTGGTCTCTGGGTGCTACTCCTCAAACTTTAGTGTGCATAGGAGTCTCCTGGAGAGCTTGTTAAGATGCAGAATCTGATTCAATAGATCTGGGGGTGTGACTTGAGGTCCTATTTCTAACGCACTCCCAGTACACTCCCAGTGATGCCAGTACTGCTGGCCATGGACCACGCTTTGAGTAGTGAGGGAGCGCACTCCAGTGGGTGGCTCTGTGCCGAGGTAGCTTTTGCTCCTGGTCCTGTTCTCACCTGGTGCTTCAGTATTTGTACATTTCTATGTTGTGCATCAAACTGGTAACTGGGTCTCTTTCTTTCTTACTCAGTTGTTAACAAACATCTGCAGAGTACTTACTATTGCAGCGATAATGGCAATTTGAAGGCTTGAAGCAGAGGGGTGATGGGACGGGATTTATCCCATGTACTGGTTCGCTTTGGCTGCTTTTGATAAACAGTATGTGGGCAAGAATGGAAACAGGGAAATCCATTAGGAAGCTGTTTCCATAGAACAAATGAGCGTTGAGGAGTTAGGGCAAGGTTTTTAGTGGTGAAGATGCTGAGAAGTGACCAGATTTAGGATCTATTTTGGAGACAGTAGAAACAGAACTTGCTAATAGATTGGCTGTCGGTAGGAGAGGAAAAGGAAGAATCAAGGTCATCTCCCAGGTGTTTGGTCTGAGTGACAAAGGGCTACTTACTAAGATGGAGAAGACTAGGGGAGGGGCAGGTTGGGGAGGGGAAATCAAGAGTTGTGTTGTGGGCATGTTGGGGTTGAGATGGCCGCTTGTGTCAGAGGAGAGTTGAGAGCAGGCAGTTAGATGTGTGCATCTGGAACTCAGGGGGAGCGCAGTCTGGAGGTAGGGGCGGGAGAGCCACAGAGCATGCAGGTGGGAATTAAAGCACAGGCCTGGATGAGGTCCCCTGGGAGACAGCGTAGAGAAGAGAAGAGAGCTCAGAGCAGAGAACTCTAACATTGAAAAGTTGGAGAGAGTAGAAAGGGTCTGCCAGAGAGTCTGAGCAGTTTGCCCAGTAGAGTAGGAGGAACGAGCGACAGAACAAAAGAAGAAATTGCTTCAAGGACGAGGGGTGAACAATTTGCGTCAAATGTGGCTATGAGGTCAAATATGATATGGGAACAGACTTAGCCCTTGGGACAAATAACATGGAAGTTATCAATGGCCATGATAAGAGCCATTTCAGGGGTGAAGAGTGAAGGGGAGGATGACAAAGTGGGCAAAGTGTATCTAGACAGCTCTTCCCAGGAGTCACGATGTGAAGAATAGCAGAGACATGGGGTGAGAGCTGGGTGCCTCTATCTGAATCTCTGCCTTGACAGCATGTATATAGCACCTCATTTTCTCCACCTTCGGTTGCACTTGGGCCGCAGCTTGGTCTTTATAGACTACATGTAGGCTGGAGTCTTTTCCTGAATCTTAGCCCCACGTCTGGCAATGTACAACCGTCTGCCCGACGACCCTGAAGACAAGTTTCTGCCCACTAGAGTCTCCGTTTAAAGTAAGAGTAAACCATGTACCCAGGAGAGACGTGGACAAAAAGAGAAGGAAAGAGGTAAGTCTTTTCTTTCTTTTTTTAATTGAAGTATAGTTATTTACAATGTTGTGTTAGTTTCCGGTGTACAGCAAAGTCATTCAGTTATACATACGTATATATTCTTCTTCATATTCTTTCCCATTATGGTTTATTACAGGATATTGAATATAGTTCCCTGTGCTATACAGTAGGACCTTGTTGTTTGTCTAGTTTATATATAGTATTTTGTATCTGCTAATCCCAAACTCCTAATTTATCCCTCCCCCACCCCCTTTCCCCTTTGGTAACCATAAGTTTGTTTTCTATGTCGGTGAGTCTGTTTCTGTTTCATAGATAGGTTTATTTGTCTTATATTTTAGATTCCACACATAAGTGATATCATATGGTATTTGTCTTTCTCTATTAAGTATTTTCCTTACAAAACCAGAAAAGTTCTGTGTAGTTGATGGCAGTCAGTGACGATGCTGGGTCTTCAGAAAGCATGACCATCAAAACGATGACGGTTGAAGATAAGAGGTCAGAGACCTCCCATCGTCAGCAATTATAAGCAAGGTGACAGACACTCACAATGCTAGGAATTATTTAGATTTAATTTTTGAATTGTCAGTACATTCACATGGTTCAAAGTTCATGAAGTAAAAAGAATGTACAGTGGAGTCTCCATCTGAGCCCTGTCCCCAGCCTTCCAGTTCCCATCCCCTAAGTCAACTAAGGTTGTAAGTTTCTTGTCCATCCTTCAGCACACACATGCAAATACACATGCATTGTTCCCTCTCTCCACCTTTTGGCAAAAGTGGTATTATAGCCAACATACGATTCTGCATCTACAAAGACAGGAATTTGGCAACTTGGAGAGAAGTGGATTTTTGCAGCTTCACCTAACAGCTGTGAAATTCATGAGAAATGTCTTTTAGGAAAGCAGTTTTTTATTAGGTAGTAGGTATGAAAAATGGAGTCTAAGTTGAGATCTCATGTGTCTGGGAGCATCTGTTGAATGGGGTGGACCTGTGAGGAGGTAGAAGGTACCTGGGAGAACAAAGTAGGAAATGTGACATTTGTGCCTAAGAATTCTCATACAAGTTCCCAGGTCTGTCATGGAACCTTGCCATCACTGACGTGTTTGCTCGCCATCACCCCATCCCCTCCAGCACTCTGGGAAGGCTCTGCCCTCCTGCCAGCACACCCACAGGGGTCCTTGGCTGGATCCCTCTGAAGTCAGTCACCTACGAAGATCACCTCCTGTTCTCTGTCAAAATTGGCCTTGTATCGCAAATGCCTCCGTCTTGGCTGGCCACCCTTGCAGTGCCTCCATCAGGATTTATCGTGTGACCAGGTCCCCGTGCTCCTGCTTTAATGCCCCACCACCAGCTGCATATCTGAGCCCCTCTCCTAGCAGGGTGGGTGTGCCTCTTGAATGTGAATCAATTCTAATATTTAAAAAAACAGGACCCAGTGTTTTAAATTACCATCTGACATGCCAAGTGAAGTGAAGCTCATTTTCAGATGATTCCCAGCTGTCATAATAGCATTGTGCCTGGATGGCTCAGTCATCACAGAAGAAAGGAGGGCAATTTTATTTCAAATTTAACGTGATAACAGGAATTATGATGGGAAATCAACTTGAGATATTTAGAGCAGCTACTTAGAATCACATCAATTAACATTTGTCCATTGCTTTACTGTTGATAAAGCACTCTTATGTACACTGTCGTCATATATGTTAGGGAGTGATGGTGGCTCCAAGGAGAGAACAAAACTGAAGTATTTCACTGCCTAAACTTAGAAATGGTGAGGAAACGGACAGGTTCTTTCAAAAGGAGACCACCGAGCTAAGCACAAAAGAATAAGCATTACCAGCGCCAAATCCAGAGAGACTGAGATGAAAACATTGTCAATTCAAGATAGATATATTGTGGGAGGAGAGTCAAGCCAAACTGAGCTCCTATAACAAAGTGTCAGGATGGAGGGCTGTTAGACAACTGTTTGGCCAAAGTAGGTTGCTTGTTCTTTTATTTATCGCATAGGTAATACATAGCTTTGTATTAAAATATCACAACTTCAGATAAACCTGAAAGAAAGTGGCAGTATATCTTAGGCTACTCTGTCTAGCCTCTCTTATGGCCACATTCTTGGAAACATTTGCCTGAATTTCATCTCCACTGAGACCCCCAATTTGCTGCTGCTTTCCTTGTTTCCCTGTAAAGTCTTTACCAACCTGCTGTCTCGTCCAGTGGTTTGGGAATCAACATTATCCTAGCTGTTGATGACTCAGGAATGGACTTAATTGATGATAACCGCATGTCCTGGAGGGTTGGCACTCATAGTTATCGTTTGTCTCAGAAGCTGAAATGCGCACTCTATCCATATAAATTGTGAGAGAATTCATCTTGATGAATGCCGAGCATGATTCGCCACAAGTGGCGATTTTGACTGGCCAATTGTGAATACATATGTTCTTTATGGTGCTTTCCCCAGAGTTTTGCGGAACTGGCTGGAACACATTTTTGTGTTTCTACTTCCCACCCTCACTCCATTTGCCTGTCAGTTTCCCTTGCATACAGTAGGTACTCAATACATGTTTACTGAATGAAAGTTCTCTTTCTTAGAGCATGATGAGGCTCCACCGCTGAATGGGTTCAGAGGGCTTCATTTCCCATGAACTCCTCCTGTGCGAAGCGATTGTCCTGATGAGAAAGTGAGAGCTGAACTGTTGAAAAGACTGATTCTCCCCCTTGAATCAGGTGAATGTATGGGAAGGTGTGAGACTTACGGGCATCACTACTGTGTGATGAGTCTGAGTATGTGCGTGTACATAGGTATCATTACTTTATTCCTGGACTGTGGAAGTTCCCAGCATGGGACCCTTCTCACCAGGAGCCAGCGTTCAGAATTCCTTCTTCTCTGATAGTTCTCTTCTCAAGACTCCCCTCCCTCTATAACTCATCCATCTGATTACAGCTGTCCCCAAATGAGTGAAAAATGGGCAGGACACAGGTAGAGGTGAGCTCTCCAGAATGAAGACCAGTGATGGCCAAGAGCATGGAACAAGAGTGGGAAAGGTGCCAAGAAGATTAACACTGACCTAGCGTTTCTGGAACACACTTGAGGGGGCTGTTTTTCCTGGAAAGTTCTAATAGTGCTAAGCCTGCACTTACCCCAAACCCTCTCCTGGGTCACAGATGAGGAGGGTGGCAGGGATGGGACACAGAAGGCAGGAGAGGGGAGCATAAGAGCAAAGAGAAGTTGAATTAGAGGGAGAGAAGAAGAGAGGGAAATTGGAAGTAGAATCAATGGAAACAGTAAGGATTTATCAATAGCCCTTTTCCCAGGTGGGTGTTAAAGAGTATCTGTCCATCTGCCTATATATCTGTCTATCCCTCCATCCACTCATCTATCCATCCATCCTGCCTTTTTCTAAAAGGATTTAAGTGCATTTCCAAGGATAAAGTATATATGATGACATAGTATAAACTATAACTGGGCAGGATAACAAAGAAGTGCAAGGATGGGGACAAAACGGAGCCGAGAGCAGGGCTCACCCCCATGTGCTGGGCTGGATGGCTGAGGGGCTGCCTGTGACAGTGAGAGTCAGTGACACACACGACCAGAGGGAGAATCTTGCTAAACCCGGAGCTCTGGGCTGTGAAGTGTGTCTTCCTCGGTCATGTCTTGCTTGGACTTAGCACACCTGGTTGGGCCTTGTGGGTTGGCCGCTCTTTGCCACAGGTGGCAGGGGAAAGGCAGACCTAAATGTGTGTGATTGTGAGGATTGTCTACGTTAAAGCCTGAATGCAAAGATTGCTTCACTCGCATAAGGCGAATTAGCTGAAAGAACCTGCCCAACTATAGAAAATACCTTGTCAGAAGTTACAAAACATCATTCATTTTTTCAGAGTTCCAAAAAGAGCCAATTTTAAAAGCTTTTTTTGAGTTGAGAAAAAAATGCCCTTAAAACTATCGACCGGGCCTGTGAGATTCTTTTCTTAGCTGACATCTCCCTCTACTGACAGTACATCCTCTCACTTCTCTTTCACAACCCAGCAGGGAAGTCCTTTGAAAGCGACAAGCCTGTGAAATGCCTTTGAGTCCGTGCTCACAGATTGAGGAGGTCCTGGGGGGGCGGAGCGGGAGATCATAGGTTCTGCTTGGGACTTGGGGAATCGGAGCCGTCCAAGTTCAGGCAGCAACAGGATACACCTGTCTGGAGCTCAGAAGCGAGACCTCAGACAGAGAAAAGTGGTGGAGTGTTCAGTGGGAGGGAATGAAAGAAAAGAGATGGAGGAGGAAGATGCCTGAACTGGAGAGCCTCCCAGAAAGGTCAGGAAGATGGGTAGGAGCAAATCAACCTAAGTTCAGGAATTCATTCCCCTGAAGGCCTTTTTACAGCCATCCAGCTTGGCTTGTTGAATCCCAATGTTGGGAAACTCACTCCTTCACTGTCAAGAACTGTTTGACAATGTTTATTGTTAGAAAGTTATTACTTATAATGAGCTGGAATCTGCTTCCCCACAATCTCCATCCGTTTTTATCATCCTGCTGTCCTGTGCTATAAAGATAGAATCTGTCACCTCACGCGCTTTCCCAACAAATGCTTCCCCACAAGAATCCCATGAGAGAAGTACGGCTAAATGGTTCAGTTACCCAGTTCAAGGTCTGTTCTCTCCTCCGCCACCCCCTATAAGTCCTTGAGAGCAAAGACTCCCCTCCCTCCCCAGCCTCCAACCTAGCAAACTTTTCTGTTGTACTGAGGGCTTCGTTTGCATGGTCTCTCTAGACATCGTATCAGTTGAATGAGCTAGGCATTATTATTACCACCATTTACAGAGGAGAAAGCTGAGGCTCAGAGAGGGAGGTTACTTGTACAAAGCCACATAGCAAGTGTGGGTAGAGCCCAGCTTGACATCCATGTCTCTCTAATAATCAAAGCCTGGGCCCTTAAATCAATGTGATTCTACCTATTTTGTCTGTAGACAGCATGGGGTGAAGAAAAAGCCCATAGTGTTGCCCACTGGACTGAACCTACTTGAAAATTGGTAATTTGGGGTCATGGTGCTTATAGATAATACGGTTAGGACTTTGTCTCTGGACCCGTTTCTTCCTCATCTCAGTGTCAGCATCCGTGGAAGCCGCCTTGCTTCCCAGGTTTATTCCACCCGCTTAGCAGCGCCGCCGATGTCTCCTATTTGACTCTACCTGTGGGTGACACAGGCGCCCTCCAGCCCTCTCCGCTCAGCGCTCATCCATACAGGACTCCTGTTCTCCTAAAGTGTCGGTCAGTCCTTCCAGCACCCGTTATTCTGGATTCCTCCAGAGGACAACAGATTCCTGCTGGCCATGTTTTGGATGGAGTTGGCTCCCTACCAACCAGCTCTGAGACCTCAGTAAGTTACTGAAGTCCTTTGATTCTTGAGTTTCTTACCTTTAAAAAGGGAACAAGTACTTGATGATATGCTGTGAGTTTAACTGAGAATGTAAGTGAAATGCCCAACATAGTGCCTGTCCCACATCACATCTACGCAAAAGTAGGAGCTATTATCAGTCTGTGCTGGGAAATGGAAAAATACGTGATTGTTCTTTCTACCTGGAGAAGGTAAACAATTAGAGGAAATGCTGGCAGCGAAGGGAGAGAGAAGTCCGGGGAGTAAGAGAGCAAATAAAATGCACTGTCATGGAAGCCACAGAAAGAGAAGGTGTTTTTCTCAGGTCCTGCTTCCTAGTGGATGTTCAAGAATCTCTGTCTTGCATTTGACAAAGAGATAACAGGGGGCTTTCAAGACTTGTTTCTGTGGAGCAGTGGGGATAAAGACAGATGGCAGAGAAACAGAGCAAGATCTTAAGGAAATAAAAGCAGTACTGAGGACTCTTTATAAAGTGTGGCACGAAAAGAAAGCAGAGGAGAGAGGCAGCAGGCCAAGGGCAATGGGATGTGTCAAGTAGATGACTGATAAATATTCACTGAGGATTTATCAGGGGGCTGAGAGAGCAACTGAGTGAGTGAACGAAGATGCTTAGGGTTTGATTAAATGTATTTGATAACGTTGACATTGCTTAGTCTGTGGCACCTATATACCTTTTTAGTAATACTGGTGGGAGAAAAATTGGGAGGATTATATAATATTTTCAGCCCCCCAAAACACATCTTTACCAAGAGCCTTAGGTAAAAAAATCCCTTCACCTACTACCATTTGTGCAGATTCTGCCTAAATTAATCCGGGTGGGCCCTAAGAGTCTCTACTTGGAACAAGCTCCCTGTTGGCACTGCTGGCTGTGCTACTGGGCGCCAGTATGATGGGCCATACTTTGGGTAACAAGACCATAGCATATCTGACCTTGGTTTGACCACACCCACTGTGACATGTGGTGGGTACCTGAGACACTCTTGGTCTCAGTTCAGTTCTGGCACTGGTCTCTTCTCCTTCGCCTCTCCCCACCACCAACCCTCACCAGGAAAATGCAATAAATAAAAATTCAATAACAACAGTTGCTTAGCATCTTGAATTCACAGCTTCAAGATATTGTCCCTCTATTTGCTTTGAGCGGGGAAGGGAATGATTTTTCTTCATTTTTGGATCTCAGAATTCTTGATTTTTTTTTTTTTTGACATTAATGGTTTGGTGCAAACCCACTTTTGTGGATTTGGTATTTCCTCTGTGGATAAACTTTGTGGCTTTGGGAGAAGCTTCCTTCTTTTATGAGGCACTTTTAACCTGCAGGATTTCCATTTAGCTTAATTGGCATATTTATGTATTGAGATGGGTGCCTAGAGGGCTCAGGCCACGGCATCTTTTGTATAAATCGAAAAAAATGAAATGAGCTGTTCTCACAGTCGTGTGCCCTTCAGTCATGGAGCGCGGTAAAAGGCTCATCATTTACAGGCTGCGAAAACTCAGGAAGATCAATAGGCATAATGCAACCCGGAGTCATTTAGAAAAGCAAAACTCGGGGTTTTCAAAGCCCAATTATTTCAGGAGCTTGGCCATTACTAAATCCTTGTTAAATCCTTCCCCGGCCTTCATTCTGTCTCGATGTGAAGGAATGGCCTTCTCCACCCCTGATGAACTCTCCTCCTCAGGTGAAACTGGAGAGCCTTCTCCTGAGGGTCAGACAGTTTGTAAAGTGTGAGAAGCTGACTGTCGGCCAGCCTCCTCGGATGACAAGCCCAGCTGCAGACTGTCGCTCTCCAGGCCCCGTCTGGAGCCTGGCATGCTTTGAAGGCAAGTGCGGGAATGGATTCTTATTGGTTTAATATGGATATAGTTAATGGCTTATAGATTTTTAGATCGTCTGGCCCCACTAGGCATGTCTATTAATTCTCCCATAAGATTGTCAGAGGTGAGAGAAGGTCAGAGAGCCTGGCACATGGGCGTGGCTTTCCTCCAAGCCAGACCAAGAAAGGTCTCCTTAACAAGAATTCTTATGACCTCCTAAAGGCTTGAGAAAGAAAGAGGGACCTTTTGGTGGATACTGAAAGAATTTGGCCTCTGGGCTCAAGAAGGCATGTTTCACAAGAGGGACAGGTGATATCAGAGTAGCACAAATGCCCTGCTTGGATGAGTTCATAAAAATAGACACAGGTGAACCAGCTGCCCTTGGAGGTTTTAGCTTCTGCCACTATGGCTACGGTGGGTTGACTGGTGGTCCTAGACACTTGTGGATGTGACCTTATTCGGGAAAGAGATCTTTTTTTTAAATAAAAAATTGAAGTATAGTTGATTTACAATGTTGTGTTACTTTCAGGTAT